TCCATACCCTCAACGTCTTCCCCTGGCAGCCGGACGTTGCCCAAAAGATGGTTCAGCGGTACCTATCACTAGGAATCTGGCTGGATCGCTCAATCGCTCTAGCGGATTATTATGATGTCCCTATAGGTCACATCGACGGCGATCAGCCACTGTTATTGTCGGACATCAGCTTCGCCCGGCGACTGATTCAGCAGGACATTGTCCTTTGGTGGTCACCGTCGGAGCGTCCAGATCTTGGTGGAATCGAGGATGATAATAGACCAGCGGAAGACATACAGCACACAGAGTTTACATCACCTGGATGCTACTCCAACGTGTGTCTAGAAGTTACTGTTCGCAATTTAGCAGTGAACTCCATTCTCCACTCTGTCGCTGTCAATGAGCTTGAAGGGAGTGGCGGAGCAACGGCATTCGATTCCGTGTCCCGGACACTGAATGAGTTCTCCGGAGGCGAGGCTCAGCGCGACCTTACCCTTGGAGAATCAAACATCTCGAGTCTCACCTTTGGTATTCTCAAGTCGATGGTCAAGACATGGTTGCTTGACAAAGTCCAGGGAAATTTCGAAAGCCCGGCCACGCTAGCAATTGACCACTTTCTGGCGCTGGATCAGCACAAGCGCTTCCCATCTTCATGACCCAAATATTTATCGCTTCGTTCATGGGCTCATGAGGAAAACGTTCATCCAAATGTTGGCTGAATTCAAGCGACTCGGATCTCACGTCATCCATGCGGACTTCGGCCGGATTTTGCTAGCAACCTCAAAGCCTCCAGGCACCGCTCACGCATATGCCACCTACATAACCACAGCAGTGACATCACACGAACTCTTCGAACACATGTACCTCAAAACAGAGCGGTTTTACGATTTCCTTCTCTTCATGGACTCTGCAAATATGGGAGGAATTGTATGTGAAGACCCGCTGGCTGTTGACCCCCCAGAAGAGCTCACCATCGAGACTCGGTGGAATATCCAGACTTTCCTACCACCCGCAATTCAAGACGATTTCGGTGCCGTCATCCAGTTCTTCATCGTCGAGCTTTTCAAGATTCGGCAGAAGCATAATGAAGGTTCGAGAGCACCCTTCCGCGTGCTTCAGAATCTGGCTCCGGAGCCCACCCAACCTGACCCGAGCAAAGTTAACGAGGTTGATGCGACACGGGAGTTTATCGCCAGGAAACTCACACGCAAGTTGCTTCGGTTGGTTGGCACCATCCAAGCAAAGCAAAGAGATGCTTCCGTGGACGAAGAACTGACCACTCAGTTCCAGTTCCCTGTCCTGCCTGGTTCGCATCTGAACATGACAAATGCGCTTCTCGAATTTGTCAAATTTACCTGTACCGTGCTTGGCCTCGCCTCTGATTATCAGGTTGAGATTGGTTTGCTCAAGCGTAACCTCCTCGACCTTGCTGGTGTGCGCGAGTTTGCCAATGAAGCCCTTTTTCGCAACCCATGCGAGCCGCTCAAATTGCCTAATGTCCCTTGCCGGCATTGCGATACACTTCGTGACTTTGACTTCTGCCGCGATCCAGAACTTATGCCATACGGTCTTGATGGTGCTAGGCCACGCTGGATCTGCGGAGGTTGCGGAGGAGAGTACGACCGCATTGCGATTGAGATGGAGTTGGTTAGACTAGTTGGATCGCTCGAAAGAGCGTTCACGCAACAAGACATGCGCTGCGGCAAGTGCAAGCAAGTTCGCTCGGACAACGTGTCGCGATATTGTCATTGCTCTGGATCATACCAGCTAGTCCTCAGCAAACCTGAATTCAAGAGAAGGTTACGCACAATTGTGAATGTGGCAATTGTTCACAATCTCTCCAGACTTAGGGTGAGTCTCTTGCGCTATCATGTTCAGAAATGATCTTGATTTGTGCTGTCTCAGGAATGTGCTCGAAGGACGCTTGAAAGTTGGTGATCTGCATGTATTCACTAGTTGCTTCTTGTAGCTTTAGTCGGAATGTGTAATACTATGTGCTATCGTGTGATTGTCGTTGTATCTGGGTCCTGCAACGGGCGTGTGATGAATGTGTAGCAGGGGCAAACACTCTCAACCATGGCAGACTTAGGCTGGCCGCTTTCACGCATATTGAATAAGATATAGGAAGCTAGCAGCCCGTGTATAATGAGTTGCGGTTTGAAAGAAGCGGCCAGTCAACAGAAGGGAGGGATAAAAGATATTACTGACCCCGGACCTGAAAGGAAATGTGAGATTTTGCTGAAGAGTATGATATTACATTACACGCCTTACTTATATATGTGGCAAGCCACTCGCGGCGCCAATGTCTGAGCGAACTCGCTAAGTTTTGCAAAATGTAAAGCTTCTAAATAAGGAAAGTCCTCAAAGCCTTTGCACAACAGACCAAAGCAACGCTTACCCTCGTCTTCTGAACTCTGCCCTCATGCCACAGCGGCGAATTTTAATATGAATGCAACCCACGCATGATGCATGCACCTCTGAAAAGCTATCGTAAGCGTGTATCGTTGATATGGCTATCTCAAATCGATATGTCATGTATTACGATTTTCCTCACAGTATGACTGATGACGCGGACGGACCATCTAGCACAGAAAATGCTTCCCTCGTCTTGCATCATAATAAGGCTATTACTGGCCGCGCCTCTCTGTCCCATCACCAGTCAGCTCGTAGAATCTCCATGTAAGCGCTAGGTCGAAACCATCTCAAAAGCATTGCAGTATGATGCTTTGGATGGTTCCATTATATCACCCCTTCAAATTACCGTACCAAAGTAAGGACTACGCTGGTTCGTGACGCAGTGGACACACAAGGTAAGCGTCTTTGCATGTTTACAATAAAAATGCGACTGACCTTACGCATCAAAACTTTCAGATCTTTGTGATTCTACCGTGACGCACCTTCGTGCCTGCCGTTTCTCTACTGCGCAACTACCTCCCACTTATGCTCAAGCTCGCTTGTCACTGTCTTAAGCAGATACCGCTGTCAAAGTTTGTGGTTGTGGTCAAGTGTGCCGCGACAATGCTCCGAGTCCGCGAGAATCCCATAATCAGAACCTTATCGGAATTGTACTTCTCCACATGTGATGTCACCCTCTAGTGGAGAAGGACCGGCACTCACTTTATCGTCACATTCTAAGTTTATCAAGGGTCAGTCATGTTTGTGTTCTTGTGGACTGATGCACGCGTGGCGCTACAAAGCGGTGAATTCCACAGGTGCATATCCTATAGGAAAGCGTCCACAGACGCTTACCTTTTCCCGATGTGTTGTCGGGGGATAATGTCAGACCGATGGCTTCAATGCACGACCACAGTCGTCCTTTGTCTATCGTTTGCCCGCCCATCGAGAGATATAAAACCCGGTATCGTTCTCTGCTCCATTTCTCTCATCTTCGTCTTTACTTTCCAATTGTGTCTCGTCATCTTAGCCACTTCGCTTGTTCAATTCATCAATACGTCTATGTAAGTCTACTCGCATGTCAGGCGGATATCTTTATATGCTAACACTACCTTACGCATCCAGTTCCCCGTGTTACAGTCTTTATACGCCATTCGATAGGTTGGTGTTCGATCTTGAGTTCGAGGACGCGCCTAATCACATCATTTTTAGCGAGTCCATGCCTATGTCAGGTGACTACGTGCCGCTCCCCGGCGATACTGATTTCGTTCCGTTGTCCGAAGAAGACATGGCTAAGTTGTTTGCAGCTCACCAAAGCGGTGAGACGTCCCCCGAAGTGCGCGCCCAGCTGGATGCGTATGTGATTTTACCTAAATCATCTATTCAAACTCACGGTCGTACAGATTGTTTGAAGAGAGCGACGAATTAATGCGTAGTATAATTAACGAAGACATGCTGGCAGGCCCAGCCTGATGCTCACGTTGACAAGTAAGCCTATCTAATTAGCCTATTTGGGCCAAGCAACTCACGTTCAACGACAGGACAAACTATGATGAATTGCCAGCGACGCAACAAGGGTACGTGCACTCGCAACTGAGCCCTCGTCATTGCTCATCTGTTTCTCCAGGACTTGGGCCGATTCACAAAATGTTCAAAATCCTCAGATGTTCAAGTCGTTTCCGACATTGGAGAATTTCACCGCCCCGGTGGCTGGTCTCCCCCAGTTGCCCCACATCGATCAGGGGCTCTACTACCCTCCGCAGCCCTCTGCTGTCCCTCAAGCGCCCCAGCAAGACCATCCTTGGCCCCAGCATGAATACAACCCTGGATACTTCACGAACGAGCTTCCTGGCATATATACTCAGCCCTCTGTCGCACCGCAAGACCCCGTATGGTCTCAGCATGGATATAATCTTGGATATGATGCCAATGGACCCCCTGGTGCGTATTATTTGCAGCCCTCTGCGATCGTTCCAGCACCGCCGCACCACCACGCTTGGTCCCAGAATGAATACAATCCTGGATATCATGCCAATGGACCCCCAAGTGCGTACTATTTGCAGCCCTCCGCGATCGTTCCAGCACCGCTGCAAGGCCACGCATTTGCCCAGCATGGATATCATCTCGCCCCCTCTCACCCTTACCAGCAACTTCCCACCATTGCAGGTCCGTCCAACGCGCATTACCCTTCTGCGCCACTCCCCCAAGGTCAATATGCTCCCTTGCAGACGGAATCTAGTGGGGGCTCAAGCGTGGAGCCAACTTCCTTTGTTCTCGACTGGACGGCATCTACCAGGCCTCGTAAGCGTAAAACCCGCCAGACCTCTAATCTTGAAGATGGTTTGAGTTCGTCCGTTCCACCAACAACGCGCAAGCGCAGACGCCCGAACGTCGCCGACGACTGCAGACCAGGCAAATATGGTCCATACACGCTAGCGGATGCCAGTCCCACGATCATGACCATGCCTGTTCACGACCCAAAGCCCGTTGACATCAGTAGCCGCAGGACCCATGATCCCAACGGAAATCCCCTCCGAACGAGGAGATTTGGGGCGATGGAACTGGACGATACCTACCCCGATGCGTCTGGAAACGTCCATGACCACCACTGGCCACAGTTGACCTGCGTACGCTCGTGCGATTGGACCGACCAGCCGTGCGGTCTGTTCATAGAGGTGGACAAGATCCGTATTGAAGACCACCTGTGGTTTTGGCATGGGGTTGAAGCGAAGAAACCCACTCCCTGCAAATTCGAAGGTTGCCCGGACACAGGGCCGATGATGTATTTGAGCCGTCACATCGAAGGGGTCCACTTCGCTACATCCTACCGATGCCCCTATTGCAAGAAGCTGTCGTCGAGGACCGATTCTTTGGCTCGGCATCAGAAGGGGTGCAAACAATTGCTTGCTAACAGGGCCCACGCTGAGCATTGGAAGTACGAATTCTGTCTCCAAGCGATGATCAAGTCGGTTTCTGGATATATCGTTCCTGCCAAGAACGCGACGTAGGATAGCGTCTGAATATGTACGTCCACCTTACCCCGCATCTGTCACTGCTGCTAACGTTACTCCTTATTTCCGTTCTCTAGTGTTGACTGCAATTTTTGAGACAACTCCTCTCTACGAAGGATGACACTCATTCCATTCTATTACCGACATTCCTTTAGAATATTCTCTCTACTGCTTGGCAACGACACTCATTTCATTCTATTACCAACATTCCTTCTGAAATTTGTTCTCTCCACGGTTAACCACACTCGCTTCATTCTATCACCGACATTCCCTTTGAATATTCGCTCTTTTCGTCCACATCTCCCATATGGTTATTGGGTTATTCTTATTGCACGCTGGACGTGGTTATCGTATCTTACCACGGCGCTCGGTCTATCTTACATATAGTTGTTGGATTTTATGGGATGGAGGTTGGGGGTAGCTATATCGTACAGTTTAATGGAACTTAGCTTTGTATCGTAATTGTTATGAATGAAATATATGGATGGTGGAGCTCAGGTGGAGCACGCATATGTGGTAGACATGAATCGATTCTGCGGGATCAAACGTTCCGTCCTTGCATATGTTAAATGATGCTACCTGAAACGAAAGTATTCCAGGACCCTAGAATAATAGCGTCCTTTGAGAAGGTAACACTAAACATAAAATCATCTTGGTTCGATTTTGGAAATGTCAACTTCATAATGCATGCTGAAGAAAGTAGAATAAAAACAACTTAGGAAGCTTGAATGGATGTAATTGTGGGGGTTGGGGATCCTCGCCGAACATGCAAAACTACCCTTCAACGATCGCTAATGTGTATTGACGAATGCGAGACTATGGCCTGCGATGCATGTCAGCAATAGGATGAATTCCGTCAATGATCGCAGAATCAGACTGGTAGCTCTCATGTCGCAGGTTGAATAAGATACGGGAGGCTAGCATTCTGTAGATCACGAGTTGCGGTCTGAGAGAAGTCAGTAGAAGAACCTGTGAGATCAAAGAATGTACTGAAGCATCCAGGATGCCAGCATATGTGGCATACAGGTCGAACATTTTAGCAAGTCTTGTAGACCAAAATGTCTGAAACCTCACAGGAACAACCAGGACGACAGGTGTATTCCAGATACCGTAGCACGTAAGTAGAAACGGTTAGATGAAATCTGGTGTATTGGTATGAAAGTAGTGGTAATAGTACGATAGATTGTCGCAAATTGCTGCGCTGTGACCTGGGGAGTCAAATTTTGCATTTCAAAATGTGGGAACCTTATACATACATATAAAAATCACCCCAAACTACTTCGTAATTGGGCATTTTCCACTAGCAAGCGGTCAATTTCTGCCTCGCGCTGAGCCAGATCATGAGCGAAACCATCCATCCAGGTCTGTAAGGATCACAATGTTAACATCAAATCTCTAGTCCATATAAGGCTGACCTGTTGTGTTCTGGCATGTTCTGCTTGCCTCTTCAGCTCTGGTTCATTTTCGAGGCGCCTCCACTCGTTGGCGTACTCCTCGCACACGACCTTCACACTGTCTGCCTTATCCACCTTAAAATCATAGCAGGGAGAGCGGATCCCTTGCAGGTTGACTCGAGATAGCCAGGGAAGAGCTGTTTTATGGCCTCCCAGATAGTACTGGCGAACCAGTAGCATTGAAATTGATACAGGTGGTAGTTGGGTGCATGGGTGCTTATAACAGATAAAAGAACCGATATCTGAGTTGCCGAGGGGCGTGCGGATGTTGCAGAGAATGTGAGGGTGCAAAGACGTTTGTATTGGCCGTATCTTGATTTTAGGTACTTGTGAGGGCTAGTACCTGTGTCTGGGCTAGTGGAAACGGAATCAAGGGCGGGAGTTTGTAAAGCTGAAGGGGAAGCGATGCCTGACGAACTTTGTGTAGTAGGTGTGGAGGAGCCACTGTCATTCGAGTATGACTTTGGAGTACGGTCTACGACCACATGGGCGGTCGCAGACACTGAGGCGTCCCAATGACGAAAATACAGTACAATAAATTCATGCTGTTCTCTTTTGGAAGCTTTGCGAAACATGACTTGTTCAAGGACACACTGCGAGGGAAAATTACTATGCAAGAGCACACTTCTCCATGCCGCAACGTCAAGTCGAATCTCGCCCAATGTAAATAACCCCGGGACATCAGTGGGAAATTTCATGGAACGAGAGAAAATCGCAGTAAGGAGTCTATGAAAACTGGAATCGTACTTTGAGAGCATCGCAAGTTGAAAAGGGTTGAGCAGGGTTTGAACATGTGCACGAGGCTCAGAAGACAGTGATTTTGCAGAACGTGTTAAGAGAAGATTAATTAGTGCTGGGGCCGAATTATTCACAGGCAATTGTGCTAAGATGCACGCTCATGCGATTGGACCGACTCCCAGCCGTTCACGTGATTGATAGTGAACGCTTGAGCGACTCGGAGGCTCGGAGCACATGAGGAGGCTCTAGTGTTGCCGCCGACTTAGTGGAGATCAGGTGCAGCATGTACATGAGGTAGACGGAATTACTTCCATGGGATAAAACGCCCCGTCCTTACACACGTTAAATGACATCACCTGAAGCAAAGGTTGAACACTAAACACAAAACCGTCTTAGCACAATTTTGAAAATATTAACTTCACGCATGTACGCTGAAGAAATTAGAGCGTGGATGGATGTAATTGTGGGGGCTAGGGATCCTCGCCGAACATGCAATTCCACGATCCCTGGGTTTGTATTCACACGAATGCAACACTATGGCCTCCAGCCTCCAGGGGTGCAACACATATCAACCATAGGAAATATTCCGTCAATGATCGCAGAATCAGACTGACGGTTCTCATGTCGCAGATTGAATAAGATACGGGAGGCTAGCACTCCATGGATCACGAGTTGTGGTCTGAGAGATGTCAGCAGAAAAACCTGAGAGATAAAGGAATGCACTGACGCATCCAGGATGTCGGTGTACGTGCCCTACATATTGAGCACTTTTGTAAGTCCTATGGGCTCAAATGCCTACTAGTAAAACCTCACAGGAGCAACCAGGGTGATAAGAATATTTGCGAAGGATGCCACTGAAGGACACTTGTTAGACCTGCATGAGTGCATAAACAAGAAGACGTACTTATGATGCAGGTCATGTATATCATCCCATCGCGATAAAGGATGGTGGCGAGGCGACCTCGAGCATCTTTGTAGAAGTTGAATCTCTTGTATATCGTAAGGATCATGAGCACTGTGACACCTCAGGTAAACAGCCCCGGTATTTAGTAGTATCAACTCGAGTTACCTAGCTCATAAATGATCAAAAAACCATATTGTATGGCGTCACCCTTTCCATTTTCAAACACGCAGCCTGTCTGGTCGACCGCTATGATAAGTCAGCAAAAGTGTTCACTCAATGTCATAAAACGCAGATACGTGGAGTCTGAGGACCAGCGATATGGAGGATGCCTGCGACTCTTGTCACTCCAACAGCCCCTACAATGGAAAACTGTCCAAATACAAATATGAGTGACCGGTGGATCATCAAGTTGGCACTCACCGCAGCAAGAACGAGAAGCCACACCAACATTTTCTTGTTCTGATGCCAAAAGGCCCATGTGCGAAAAATAAGCAGGCCTTCAGAGTAGATGATAAGCATACTAGTACTAGTTCCAAACGACAAAAGCGCCAGCAGACCGACCTTCTGCAGCGATGATGCTTATCAGATGTGAACCTTGATGAGTGTTCAATGTCCATGCTAGAGTGTCTGTCCCAGCGCTGCTTACCATATGAAACATTGTCGAAAGTCGCACACTGAAGAAACAGTCAGTGAGAGTCTAATTCAAATCACAAGTTCACAAACACTTGTGTACTTAGACCGGTCAGTCACCGCAGCTTAAATCTCATCAAGTCATGATACATGATGCAAGGACTCGCGACTTACCATACGTGGTCATAGCAGTACCCATCAAGGTAGCATAACGAGTGAGAGTAAACAAAACTCTAACGATGCCCCACTTCTTTCCCCAGATCAACTGGACCTGCAGACCAACTTAGCGTGCATCGGGCTCAAATGGGGTCACAAACCTCTTGTGGAAGCGTCAAGCAGTAGTCGAAGACCTGGTTCAAAGATGTGGAAAATTACTACAGGGATGACCACAGTGAGGATACTCACCACTGCTGCCATTGCTGCAACTATCTCTATCGTCAGACGGGCAGTGTGAGTACTAATAGCGAAGTGCGTACCTGTGAAATACTATCGATGTGCAAAGGCATTGAAACCTAAGTGCTTGTACTATGGACTGGAAATGAGGATTCACCTGCGCAGTCTGATAACCTACAGTCGTAGCTGACATGGAGAAGACGATGAAAAGTGTTCTTAATATACTAAGTTTCACCTGTATGCTATTTAATAAAATCTGTCACAGCCCCGAATCCAGCACCGCACATACGATTTCCTTTGGAGTTTGGTCATGAGTTGGACAGGCGGCATCACAAACTCTTCCAAGGATCTCCAATACGTAACGTGCATTTCAATGGCTGTCGAATGCTTGGGCGCATCAGACAACTGGTGAGAAGAAGATAGTGTAATATACCGTAAGATATAGGAAAGGATTTCGTTACACTGGAATATATGACCATGTAAATGCATCGCAATCGGCATAATCACCGGCAAGAACTCACCAGTCTACTGATGCTCATGCAGCGCTCTTGACTTCCACACATATCCCTCTGCCCATCAGCGATTGTATAATGCATCACTATTGAGAGCGCACGACAGAAGACATTTGCACTCCGAAATTCAGGCAAAGGAAAGACTGTAAACTAAAGTTAGGCATCTTTTTCTGAAAACCGGGCAATTCCATGTATTATGAGTACTGCCACTGGTACACATGAATAAAGTTCCGAATGGGATGGATACTTACAAAGTATCACGGTAACATTCTGGAGTGGTATACAAGAATATAGATGACCAGATTATCGGGGACTTGCTGTGGGTTCGATCATGTTTGAATGATTGTTGCCTCGTGCACCATCAGATGCATCAAGAATAGCTGTGATGAAACAAATGTTTGGCATGAGATGGTACAGGGATGTACATGTATGTAAATCATAATCAGCATCGTTGCGAACCAAATACGTACAATCATGATGAACCAGATAGATGGTTTCGTCAAAACAGATGATCGATCTCCCAACAGCGGAAGTTAACGTTGAACGTTAAATTTACGTTTGGGTCGGGTAAGTATTGCAGCCGTGACACTGGGCTGTTCACGCGATTGTTATATACGGATAGTGAACGCTTGAGTGATTCGGAGCACATGAGGCTCTAGTGTTACCGCCGACTCACTCGAGCTCAGGTGCAGCATCCACATGAGGTAGATGGAAATATAACACGCTCCGTCCTTACACATGTCAAATAACATCAATGAAACTCCGTCATGGCATGTATCGGCAGGTGACATTTCTGCGTGACTTCGGCACTTTCGACTATCTCACTCAATTCTGCTTTAATCGTGGTCGTTCAACCTCGTAATGAGTTGTATTAGAGAGAGAATGATACAGATGTTAAGAATTTTGTGTTTAAGTAGCTAGAAATACGAGTTTTGTGAAAGTGCCGACTTCTGTGGGTGCCGATTGCAGTGGATGGGATAGTAACATCGCCTGAAGCGAAGGTGTTCCAGGACCCAAAATAAGTAATGGTGTTTTTTTGGGAACTTGAAGGTAACACCAATCACAAAATCATTTTATGTAGTACAATTTTGAAAATATTAACTTCACGCATGTACGCTGAAGAAATTAGAATATAGATGGATGTAATTGTGGGTGCTGGAGATCCTCGCCGAACATGCAAAACTACACTTCCACCATCCCTGGGTTTGTATTCACGAATGCAACACTATGGGCTCCAGGGATGCGCGTGTCAACGATAGGAGAAATTCCGTTAATGATCGCAGAATCAGACTGATGGCTCTCATGTCGCAGATTGAATAAGATACGGGAGGCTAGCACTCCGTGGATCACGAGTTGCGGTCTGAGAGAAGTCAGTAGAAGAACCTGTGAGATCAAGGAATGTACTGACGCGTCCAGGATATCAGTATATGTCTCCTACATGTCGAGCATTTTAGTAAATCCTATGGACCCAATGCCTACTGGTAAAACCTTACAGGAACAAACAGGGCGATAAGAACATTTGCGAAGGATGCCACTGAAGGACTCTTGTTAGACCTGCATGGGTGCATAAACAAGAAGACGTACTTATGATGCAGGTCATGTATATCATCCCATCGCGATAAAGGATGGTGGCGAGGCGACCCCGCGTACCTTTGTAAAAGCTGAATCTCTTGTATATCGTAAGGATCATGAGCACTGTGACACAGGTTAACAGCCCTGGTATTTAATAGTATCAAGTTGAGTCACCTAGCTCATGAATGATCAAAAAACCATATTGTATGGCGCCACCTTTTCCACCGTTTTCAAACACGCAACTTGTGCTGTTGACCCCTACAATAGCTTAGCAAAGATGTTCACTCGGTATTATAAAGCGCAGGTACCTGGAGGGTTAGTCACGGTGACACTGGAGACGACGTTTGACACCCCGACTGCCGCTGCAATGCAAAACTGTCCAAATGCAAATTTGGGTTTGATCAGTGGATCATCAAGCCAGCACTCACTGCAGCAAAAACGAGAAGCCACACCCGCAATTTTTTGCTCTGATGCCAAAAGGCGAGTGTACGAAAAATAAGCAGGCCTGCAGAGTAGATGATAAGCATACTAGTACTAGTTCAAAAGGACGAAAGCGCCAGCAGGCCGACCTTCTGCAGTGATGATGCTTATCAGATGTGAACCTTAATGAGTGTTCAATGTCCATGCTAGACTTGAGTCTGTCCCAGCGCTGCTTACCATATGAGACAGAGTCGAAAGTTGCGCACTGAAGGACAATCAGCGAGAGTTTAATTCGAATCACGAGTTCACGAACGCTTGTGTAGTTAAGCCGGTCAGTCACCGCAGCTTAAATCTCATCAAGTCGTGATACATCATGCAAGAACTCGCGACTTACAATACGTGGTCATAGCAGTACCCATCAAGGTAGCATAACGAGTGAGAGTAAACAAAACTCTAACGATGTTCCATTTCTTTCCCCAGATCAACTGGACCTGCGAGCCAACTTAGCGTGCATAGGACTCAAACGGGGTCACAAACCTCTTGTGGAAGCGTCAAACAATAGTCAAAGACCTAGGTTCAAAGATGTGCAGAGAGTTATGGATGACCGCAGTTCAGACACTCACCACTGCTGCCATTGCTGCAACTATCTCTATCGTCAGACGGGCAATGGGAGTGCTAGTAGCGAAGCGCGTACCTGTGAAATACTATTGATGTGCAAA